ACGAGTTCTACAGACGCGAAAGTAGCAAAGAATGATTAACCGTGTCCAATGCCGCTGACAAGTCCAGTAACAATAGGAACACATTGTCCCTCCAGTCCAGTGACAGCAAGATGTCATTTGTGATCGTTAGCAGTGCGGTCTCTATGCTGTGGTGCGCTTTGTGCGCAGATTGAAAGCGTTCGTGCAAGCCATTAACCGTAAGATAATTATTCAAATGCACAAATACAGACTTCTCCATCAGTTTTAAAAGAAACCTCAAATGGGACACCGGGCGGAAGTTGGAAAATTGCTTACAGTCAGCATTCGGTTTCTTCAGCAGCGGCCGCAACAAAGTAATCTTAGAATTCTCTGGCATCGATCCAGTCGACAGCAACAGATTAATTAAGGATAATTAACTGCAAAAACCGTGGACGAAGATCCTGCTAGTTGTAAACGTTGGATCTCTAGAAAAGAGATCAAATCAGCCAAAATATAAAGAACCAATAACGAGAAGTCCAAAAACTACTGCAAAGCTGATTTAAAACAACGTGTATTGTTTTTCTAACAGATTAACTACCGTTTTGAATACCGAGACAAGAGCCGAATAGCAACTTCGCATTATGGTTGCTGGTAGGGGATCAAGTTTACAAGCCTTGATGGTGGAACCTCTGATTAGTTTCAAGACGTCCTCATCAGTGACGGAATCAAACTCACTTAACCTTGACAGGCTGGTCGGCTTGGCCAGAACAGGGGAGTGAACAAGTCCACTCTTCCTCATTACAAGCTCTTCACCAATCCTTCCTATCTTAGGAGTGAAAAAATCTGCAAAAGCAATTGCAAGTTGTTGATCATTATCCGCGGAAGGATAATGCTTCTCAGTTTGCCTTTGCAGCGGCTTATCTAAAGATCGAAAGAGGAGCCTGGTGTTACGGGCGTTGTCCGGGATAACCGACGAATAATAGAATTCCTTGGCTTAGTATAGCATTGTATTCACAACACTACATTACTCTATGTATCCCAATCTGTCCGACTGAAGACGGCTACAGCGCCACCTACGCTTTAACCTGCGCCGCTTCCTCTTCTCATTGCCAATGTCCTCGTTATCAGTTAGGTTATAATTAGGCACATGGGTGGAGCGGCGTGAACCGGGCCTAAGGTGTATTCTATTCAAGAAACATTTGTGTTCCAAACCGAAATATATACATTTCGTATATTTATTTTTCCTTAGATTTTTCGTTAGTTCAATAACCACACCAGTAGTTGAATGACCACACTTCATTAAGCGTAAACCACATGTAGCTGCGGGAAGTAGCCACAAGTACGTTAGATTCCTTTTGATATGCATGTGTAGCATTAAGTAAGCAGTGAATACTCATTTAGCAACGATACAAGAACTTTTTCGCGTATTTTATTGTACTTTTTCTATACTTTTTTACACTCACAACATTTACCCGCGGAGATTTTCGTTTCAGAATTTTTTTTACAACTTTTTTCTTTTTATTTTTTTCAATTACTTTCCATTGTTTTTTTTTTTTTTTTTTTTTTTTTTTTTTTTTCGAAGACAATAAGCCACACCCACGACCTCTACTCACTACCCACGACCCACGACATCTTGTAGCTACACTTGCGAGAATACGATAACGTGGAGGTCGAAATATAATCAGTAATGTACCATGCTTCTAGAACTGTAGCTGGCAAAGATGCCGGTATATTTTTATTTTATTTTTCACATTCGAGTCTTTTTCTCGGGCTATGGTCTATAGAGCTATACCTTTATTCTTCCTTTCTTTCTACAATAGATCAGCTGACAGCAACATTTATTGCCAATATTTTTACAAACTATTTCTTCGAATACTATGCCAGTGGAAACATTATTTCTGACATCACTGATCATTTTTTGCCAGGTTTGCATATTTTAACCTGCATTGAAACAACTCAGCCCCTAAAGACTACTATTCAAGACTATTCAAAATTCTCTTAGCAGAGACTTTTCCAGTATCTTTCACAACTACACTGGGAATCGTTTCTTTCTGGGAATGATGTGCGTAGGCTATTCTCTACTTTCTTATAACAAAATGACGTAAATACTAAAACAAGGAATGACCTAAAACTATCTCCAGTCGACTCTCTCTTAACCGACTCTTCTGTCACTTCTAGAGGACGGGCACCTCTGTAAAACGGACACTATAGAGTTGGTCCCTGCCTTTCTTCAGGGGCACCCAACGACAATTTTCGGAAAAGTATCTGTTCGGAAGAAGATTTGAAATCTAGAATTTTCGGAACATTTGTTGTAAAATTTCTTGCTTGCCTGCCTCTCCTAGGATTTTCGGACATCTAAAAAATGGTATAATTGCCTATTTTTAACGGATTTTTACCCTAAAAAGGTCAGCTAGAATTTTCGGGAGCCTTTTTTCTGGCTAAAATTTTCGAAAAGGTAAGTTTTGATCCCTATAATTTTCGGATCACTTGACTTTCAGCTAGGAAATCCGAACAGATGAAAAATTTTTAGGGGATAAAAATATGCCATATCTACCGTTTAAATACTAAAATACGTTTAACAATTCTATGTTTAAGTGGTTTTGAACTATGTTCTCGTTGGGTGCCCTTGTTTCTTTACTCCCTTTATTTGACTGACATCCCTCAAAGAAGGACTTTTAGTGCCTGTCCCAATCTACAAACCACCTACAACCAATTAGCCGCGTGCACACCGCAAATGTTGCGTTCTCTTTCCACGCATGTCTAGTTTCATGTAAAGAAACTTAATACCTGGCAAGAGCGTCTAGAAAAGAAATTCATTTGGTACAGTTTAGCTGTCGTACTTACAGCGCAATGAACTATGAAATCGGTAGGTATACTACAAGAATTTAGCTGCCATCCATTTTTCTCACCAAAGAGACACGTGTCTTTTTCGAGACGGGTATACGTAATTCTGGGACTAGCTCTTCACGCTCGAACTGTCGGTCAAAATAATAGTACTTGCCTACGTGGTTCAATATTTTTCAAACTTACGGCCAGAATCGCAGTGTAAACTCAATTGTCAGAACCAAGATACGCATTACATCGTACAATATAATGTGGTGACGATTAATTTCCCCCGGGGCTGCTCCTCGGAATTCCTGTTGGGGGTTGGCCGCCTGGTTCAGAAATCTAAATCTCCTGTGGAAGACGCGTGAGCTCTCAAGTGGCATTTGATTTACGTATTTCTGTAAAAAAAAAAAACATACTCTTCCGGCAGGAGGGATTTCAAAGACTTTCTAGCGGGAACGATCCCACTTACTTCGCAGGCTAAAAGTAACAAAGTAACAAAGCAATATCTCGTATTAACCCGATGACGGCCAGCGAGTGAAACAAAACGGATTTTTCACCAGGTAGTGTACTCTTCCCTAAAGCGTTACCTTTTTTTGTGAATGTAACTATGTTAGGATTGGTCAGAATATTCATAACGAGGTATCCGTGGAAAGATCTATCTTTGCTGACGTTTTTGCTTACCAACTTATTAGCTGAGACTGAAAGCTAAATGGGTCCATTGACTATTTTCCAATTCCCCATAATACACTCTGTTTGCCCCTCCAAATTTTGCATAACTTATTGTCTTAAAATGCTCTTGGGAAAATGCAATATTCCCAGGAGCATTTAAAAACAATGGTTTATGCAAAATTTGGGGGGGGCAAATAGAGTGTATTATGGGGAATTGGAAAATAGAGAATGTGGAAAACGAAAATGACCAAAGCAATTATCAAAGAGTTAAGCTCTCCGCCAAACATTTTGTTTCTGTCGGACCTCAACTAGCATCCAAAATACCGCACTCCCCTGTACAGTTCTCCCAATGTTTGCCTAAAAGCACTCCATCATCACCTTTTGCACTTAACCCTCGGGCGTACAAGGGGGAGGCAGGTGGTGGCTACCACCTCCCTCTAAGGTTTTTCTGAGTTCTTTTCCAAGACGATAAAACATCAGCACCTGACGTTTTCAGTGGCTGTTCGTTTATCCCTGACGTGCATTTTGAGACAAGTTTAGTGATGGTCAGTTACTATGGTTACGAGATATGACGTCATAAGTAGCAGGTGGTCAAGCCACTTTTTGTGAAAATGCATGTTTTTTCAACTTTGAACAATAAAAGTAAAGCTTGTGTCAACTTGTGGATAAAATGATGCACAGTACACAGTATGATCGAATATGTTTAAGAATTGATGTTTTAATAATAAGTTATTGCCTGGATACTCTGTTTATAGTCTGGTTTCTTTATGTGTTCTACTCGATAACATTTGTTCTGGCCTGACGAAACGTGAATGAATTTGTTCATTTGCTGATAAGCAATTGAAATTTTATATGCTCAATTTAGGATAATCATTATACTCATACGCTGTGTGTTTTTGTCACCGGTAAGGCGCTATTTGCATGTATTTCTAGGTTTATATAGGGCGAAAAGAGAGATCAGTAGTATAAGGTTTGTTTTACAGATTTTGTTTGCCGATCGGTATTTTGGTAAAAATACAGGAAGGTAAATGTTTGTTTCAAAGCAGGACAGGGCTGTAAATCTTATTCTTATCGGTTGCAACATATATCTGAAGAATAGCAAAGAATAAATATGAATTATGGGTATGTATCAAAATCGAACCAAACGTCTGGAAATACTCCCGCGTAGCGAACAATGAAATTGAATTATGTAAATTTCCTTACGTGCATCTAACTTGCTCCGATTGGTTAAAAAACAATCAGCTACTGTCACAACTCACACATACGCAGTATCGTGACACTGTCCCTTGTTTAATTTTTCGACCATAACAGAAACGAATTTATTACGACTTAAGCAGAAAACGTTTTGACCGGGGTAAAAATTTCTTCATTTCTTTAGAGAGCAAGGACAGTATGTTAAATACGTACCTTGGTATTCTCATCGACTCAAAGCTCACTTCGAAGAACCATGTATCGTTTATTTCCTCAGAGATCAGCAAATCTCATGGAATTCTCACAAGACTGAGATACTTTGCTCCCATATCGCACGTTTTCGTTTTCGAACGCATTATTCTGTAGCTGATGATGGTCGTTATATCGAAACGTTTTCAGTAAATATTTTTGATGTTTTAACTTTTCGTTTCGACGCAAAACGTTGTCCATTCTAAATTAATTTATCCCCCCCCCCGCCCCCCCCCCCTCTCTCTCTCTCCTCCGCCTCTCTCTCTTTCCTTCTTTTATTCGTTTTGCCCTTGTGTCTACCATAAAAGAGTAAAACTGAAGGTTTATGGAAAAGGACAGTTTCATGGCTGCAAAGATAACAAATCGTTTAAACTTGTAAAACGTTACGTCCTCCTAAAAAACAGGCTGCTTATTCTGAAAATAACAATGTTCGACGTAGCTTCCATACTTTAAATTGCGGCATTATAACAAACTGATTATGGATTGCTCTAGGTTATGCTCCAGAATAAATACTAACAAAATACTTACATAAAGAGCATCCGCAAGAGTCTCTAATGCAATTGTAAGAGAAACATCGTTGACCTGAAACGTGAGACAGACATATTTTCATAAAAAAGATTGTCTTCATCTGGGGCCTCCTATTAAAGGAATCATCAGTAAGTCATGGTTAAGGATAACTACAGTTTCAGGTGATCTGTAATAAACGTCCAGTGAAAATGACAATCATCAAGGACAATAGAGCTATTCGGCTACCTCAATGTTGTACCTAATATGAAGGAGTGATTCAGGATTAAGGCAAAAGGAGCAATCAGGATTTTGTGATAATCCCATCTTGCCACGATCTTACTCGTAGGAGTTGTTGATGTAGCGGATGTGGTAAAATTGTAAATATTCTTGGGTAGATGAGACTGGGTCTCCGACCAAATAAAATTAACAGATGACAATGAATACTTGATAACATTTGAGAAAAAAAACCTTGAGATG